AAGTTCATTTTTTTTCTAATTTTTTTAGAGATTGAGGGTTTTTTAATTTTCGGCTAAGTATTGTGTAGTAAAACTAGCATTTGGATTGGCGGCCGCGGTAGTTGAGTGGTTAGCAATACGAACTGTCATTCAGAAGGCCAGGGCTGAAAAGTTATAAAAAATTAATTTAAATAAAAAATAAAGTTAAATTTTCTAATTGCGGTCGCCCCTCGGCAGAGAATGTGAACCCCTCCGAGTGTATTTCTGACATGAAATAAAGGCTCCTCATAAAAAGTCAACTGTCAGCCGTTCTGAGGTCGTTTAGTATAAACTGTACGTCCCTCCATTTATTGGAAAAACATCAAGACGCATAAGCACAAGTTGCAGGAGGAACTCGGCCGAAAATAGTTTCAGCTGTTACAAACCACCAATTATATATATATAACCGGTGAAGCGAGAATAAACATATATGTATATACATAGGTGCTTACTAGCATTTAGATTCTGATCAATTCGTCTTTGTCGCTGCTGTTTTTATGTAAGACAGCTACTCATCGATTGTTCATAATATAAAAGAGTTCTACAGAACCACCCTCTCATACATACATACATATGTACACGTATGTATATGTGCGCATAAAAATTAAAAAAATAAAAAAGCTTGCTACAAACGTTTATTTTTGATTAACGATCACCCGGCTTGGTATGAATGAATTTTCGACACTATTTTTTTCGCAAATCGAACAGCGACAAGAATAACGACGCCATTTCTTATGTTTTTTTCCCCCAAATTTTATGTTTTTTTATGTTTTCTTTTTTATCGTTTCTTTCACACTTGCTTCCTGTCTTTGTCAATCACTGAGCATCATAATCGACGGCGGCAGCCAGCCAGCCACGATGCTTCGCCGATTATTTGTTTGTGTGTGCGAATGACGCCATTGAACGCGCCATTACAGCCGATTAACGCCAATTGATGTATGACGCGGCGGAAATGCATACATATATATGCTGGTATATAGACATTAGGAAATTAGATATAGATATTTTAAATAAGTAAACTCGCAAAATGTATTAGGAAAAATATAATAGCAATAATAATATTCTATGTCCATATTTGGTTAGGTTATAAATGTAAAAGTCATGGCTGTCACAGCGTGTAAATATTCGTAAACATACAGGGATGTATTCACAAGTGAAATCCTTAAGTCTATAATACATTTCGTAGGTGTATAGCCTTGTGTAGATTTTTCAAGCAGCGTTCTAATTATTTTGGATTTCCTGTGACGCTTAGTACTTGAAAGTCACCTTAACTTTAGTTATGATTCATACAATTTATATTTATTTTGCTTTACTCCAACACCTGCTCAACAGAGAGATTATGAAATACATACATACATATTTTCTTATTTTTCCTTTTATTTTGATTTTTTCGATCGCGTAATTAGTTGGCTGATACAAACAAGTAAACCAAAATAATATATAATATGTATATATTCGCCCACACAGACCACCCTGTTGAAGCATTTTTGCATGAATAAATATTACTTACGGAATACACATAAAAACAGTTGTGATGTACGAAGTACTTTTCGTTGGGCAAAAATACGAATACGATTAATATACAATGGAATTTGCTGAATTTCTGGTCATTAGCCTAGAACTTATATGAACACATAGCTACTATATAAATGTACATACATATACAATAAATATATGTACATATATTCGTTTGCCATGTCTTACATGAGTGTGCAAAAATTCTTGTGTTTACATGTATATTTGTAAAGGAAAATTTAGGCAAATGCTCGTGTAAAATGTAGATTTCTTTGTACATACATACATATGTACATACTTACACGCATATGTATGCCTTTAGAAGAGACCAGAAATAAAACGAAAATGGCGGCCTTGACAGAGAGGAAGTGTGCGGTAGGCTGATATCTGGTATATTGGTATAAAAAAAATAAAATTGCAAAAATTAAAAACAAAAACAGATAAATATACTACGTATGTATTTGCATTTACATATATACATATACATACGTACATACATATACTACTGTATGAACATTTATAGAACCATTTGTTCTATATCCGCTCAACGTACCTCAGTGACTGATCACCAAATATCCGCTACATACGTATGTATATATGTACGGCTAGATATACATATGTATATACCACCCAACTCATGGCATTGGTATGCTTAAAACGTATGTTTATTTTCGCTTCAATTATGTTTTTGATGCCGTATGACGTTGGCCGCTGCTGCTGCTGCTCCTGTTATTGTTATTGTTATTGGTCTATTCCGAAATATTGCTAGTGTTTGGAAAATTTGTGCGTGCACAAATAACATATAAACAAATAATAAATTCGCAAACTATATATGTATGTACGTATGTATGTATGTATGTATGTAAAGATTTCGGTGTTTTGTTTACGCATCCAAGCAGACAGGTGTACGGGACTTTATATGTACGTCATGCAAATTAATGACGAGTAAATGCAGCAACAAAAATGTTATTTTTAGTTAACTGACACTGTTGGTGGAAGTTATTTTTACAATTTTGTGCTATTTCAAGCAAAATTAATTTTTTTTTTTTTGATTTTTAAATTTTACTTTTATGTAAATAATTAAACTATAATATGGCCACCACCGATGTTTTATTTATTTACACTTTCAAATGACTTTGGGTGGCTTTAGTATGCACCAATTGGAGGTTATGGAAAATTTTTGTATAAATTTTACCATTTTCCCGTCAATTACGTTTCACCATGGTGTTTGTATGTGCATATATGTATATATATATTTTTAAATAACACATGTATATTTATTGTACAAGTAAGTTTTTTGCACATTGTGCGTAATATTTTGGCATTCCTTAGTGCTGACGCAGTAGTTCGTGTAAATACAATTATTATTTACAACATGAGTATTTATTATTGCAGAGGAAAAATATTTTCATTAATTGATATAATTTATAATGTGCGTATATGCACGTGAATACATACATACATACATATGAATTTACATAATGTGATTATGGAAAATTCTCTTGGAATTCTTTTCTTGGCCAAATTAAGATCACTGCTCGTACTATTTAGTATTTTTTATAGATTCATTTTTAACCTCAAATTTATCATGCTGGCTTTTCAACGTGCCCTAATGTGCTCAGCTTCACCCATATATTTAGATTAACAGTATTTATTAGAGAAAAGGTAAACAAATATGTATTTACATTTGATTTGAAGTTCAATTATTATTGTTTGCAGTCCTAATCAGTGACAATATAAATATTTATTATATTCATATATTAATTTATTAACTGATTATCGGCTGCTTATCGATAGATTTAAGTACCACCATCGAATTTTTTTATTTTATTTATATTTTTACTACATAAAGAAAGATAATCCATTTCTACATGTACACACATACACATACTTATGTACATGGGCATATGTGTGCTCGTATACACATATTTACTCTTCCCAATCATTTGGTATACTCATTAAGCTGCGCGGGTGTAAATTCTACGTTAATAGGCGATAACAAGCGATCGGTAATTATCTTTATGGGAAGCTCCGAAACATTATTGGTCTACAAGAAATCTTCTAACAAACCCTACGCGTATCTGAAGAAGTAAGAAAATTATAATTGGAACCATAGTGTGTTCTAGCAAATCCACAAAAAGGAGTACCCCACAGTCTGCGCCAATTACCGTAGGAACAGTCACCTCAATAGTGCATATATATGATACAATTGGGTGTATTTTGTAAAAGACAGGATCGTGAAGGATGTTTTCGGATCGATGCCAAACGAGATTTAAAACAAGGTGTTTCCTTAATTTATTGCTATAGAAAATAATACGAGCTGTAGAACTTAATGGAAATGACACAATCTGATATAATAGTGTACAGCTGCTGGCGTACGCCCATAATGTCGACATCATTGGCCTCTAAAACTGCGCTGTGAGTTCTGTTTTCTCCAGACTGGATAGGGAAGCAAAGTATGTGGGTCTGAAAATGAGCGACGCTAGACGAAATATCACCTATCATCGCATCAACGCATTAGCGACTATCGCAGACTTCGTCTATTTTTAAACCAGTATCAAAACAACAACAAAAAGTGAGACATACATTTGTAGCTCATCGAATCTAGAGTAAGCGGCCACGCTGAATGGATGAGAATACGCTAGCTTTGATAGTTTTCGATGTAGTACTTCCTGGTAGAATTAGAGAATAACGAAGACCTCCACTCCATTGAAAAGGCCAAACAACGTATAGAAGGCATGAATGGCACGCTGTTGCTACCTCGGCTATAATCGCGTAAGCGGTGTCTATCCCCGTAAAGAAGAAGAAGACATGTGAGTGAGATTAACGGAACACGTGCCAGCCTCAGTATTTCAGTATAACCTAACCTAACCTTTTTGAAGTCATCAGACAGTGCGGTGACTTATTATTAAAAATAAAACAAAAATAGAATCATAATGAAGAAGTCTTCGAAAATAAGCTTCCTGCCTCATTAATAGCCATGCCATGCAGGAAAATATATTTTCAATATTCACCGGCTGTGTATAGAGAGGGAGGCCTGGGCAGCGAGGAAGAACAGTTAGGCCGTGAGCTTGTACTCCAGAGTACACTCATTGATAGCCATAATTATTTTGCAATGACAGAAACGTTTTCCGTAGGGATTGATGATCTCAACTAGATTTTCTTTTCCTACAAGGCATGGACGAAAATATTCTCACAGTTAAATGTATTTTTGTTAAATCCTCGTAAATTTATTGATAAGACCCACACGTTGTGTTGGTTTGATTGTCAATATATGTACATATGTACACATACATACATATATATATTTATTTTTTTGGCAATTTCGGTAGCCACCACTAATAGACTGTGCGAACTGATAAGATGTACGCACACAAACAGAAGGAAGACAAAAGAATTCGCACCCACTCGATCGATCCATCTCTAGAACTAGTACCCACATGCTGTACACTCAAACTAACCTGGAACGTCAGCTCAGTGTTTCGAAAATGTTCCTCACGATCGGTCTAGTGGTGATCGCAACGGTTTTCACCGTTACCGCGCTCATATATAAATTGAAATTTAAATACTTGATCGATGTGACGCGCGATATACCATCAGCACCGGCATTGCCCATCATAGGACATGCACTTTACTTCCTCAATAAGCCAGCGCATGAGAAAATTGAAAAACTACGTGAACTCCTTGATATTTATGGTAGAACAATGAAAGTTTGGTTGGGACCGGAGCTGAATATTGTGATGGCTGATGTGAAAGATGTGGAATCGGTGTTGGGTTCGATGGCCTTCATTGAGAAAGCGGGCGAGTACAAGACTTTGGAGCCTTGGCTGAAGGAAGGACTACTTGTGAGTCGCGGACGCAAGTGGCACAAGCGTCGCAAGGCGATCACACCCGCTTTTCATTTCAAAGTTTTAGATCAATTTATTGAGGTGTTTGAGCGTGAGTCGCGCACTTTGATTGCCAATTTGGCGCGGGAACGTCGGCAGCAGGGAAGTGCTGGTTTTTGTCTGTACGATTGGATTAATTTATGCACGTTGGATACGATTTGTGGTAGGATGTGTTGATTAGTGTTGTAACAGTGTGTTCTGTGATATTTGAAATAATAGAAAATAATCTCCCAATAATCCTCCCACACATAATCTCACTTCGGCTGCCTAAAATTGTAATCTCGGCTTGCCAATCAAATTTCTGCGCGCCTCAAGCATGAAATAATGACGCATATTGTTTATCAGCCCTTAGCTATTGTCTTTTTATAAACATTTAATTATAATTGCTTTGGACCTTAACCCTCTCTTTGGGCTGCAACTAGACTGACTGAAAAAAGCTTTTTCGTAAACAATTATTTATCAAGTGAATAATATACAATTAAATTTAATTACAATTACAAAAGCGGCACTACTCTTCTTCTTCATTAGTGTGGGCGCCGCTTACAAAATTATGGCCGAATCAACCAAAACGTGCAATTTGTGCCTAGAGTGGGGGCACAATTAAATTTATAGACAGCAAGAACACAACTCGTCCATCGATCCTTGATCACTTGATCACTGACCAGGAGTCTTGGTTTCAACAAATATCTTGATCTTGTACGGGTTTCTTTAATGCTCGCCTGTGGATCATGTTCCGCGCGGCGACCAGCAGAGTCGGTAATGCGCACAAAAGTGGATCGGTCTCGGACCACATTTGCTCTATTTGAAAATGCGCATCCTTACCTTTGTGACAAATCTAAATTCTTGGCGATAAATTTAAATTATATACATTTTATTTTTTCTTTAAAACCACATGTCTAAGAAAAACACCCTTTAGTTTGTTATTGTTTTAAAAAACAAGCTCTCACTTTTAGCTCTTATAAAGATTTATTGGCGACAAATGAATTTTCAGTATTTTATAGGGCACGCGATCAGCGTGTAAACGCCACCTTAGTTGATTTTTATCGATTTTTTCTTTCCTTTTTTTAATTTTAAGAAACTGCCATGGGCGTGTCGGTGCATGCACAAACTAATGCAAATTCGGAGTATGTGCAGGCGGTGAAGACGTAAGTGTTTTTTTTTTTAATTTATATTAAAAAATAATCTAATTTATATATTAATTATTTTAATGAATTGCAAATTGTCTCTCTCCGCCACACACACACACACATACATAGCATCTCCACCGTAACGCACAAACGCATGTTCGATATTATCTACCGCTTCAATCTCACTTATCAGTTCACCAGTCTGGCACGCGATGAAAAACGCGCTTTGGCTGTGCTGCATGGCTTCACCGAACGTATCATTTTGCAGCGACGCGAAGAACTGCTGCGCGCGCAGGCAAACACACTCACTGCCGCCGCCAAGGATCGAAAGCAAACAAATGGCCAAGTCATTGTAACGGACAAAGACGCCGATGTGGGCTTGAAGCGCAAACAAGCATTTCTCGATATTTTACTACAATCGGAAATCGATGGCAAGCCACTAAGCAATTTAGACATACGCGAAGAGGTGGACACATTTATGTTCGAGGGGCACGACACGACCTCCTCAGCGATTACATTCTTCTTCTACAATATCGCCACGTATCCGGAATGTCAGCGAAAATGTTATGCAGAGATTTTAGAAGTATTTGGCAAGGACACCAGCAAACCGGTGACTTATGAGGCGCTGAATAGATTGAATTATGTAGAGTTGTGCATTAAAGAGACGCTGCGCCTGTATCCCTCAGTGCCGTTGTTGGGTCGCAAAGTGACGCAGGAATGTGAAATAAGTGTGTGGACTTATAAGAGACTTATGGCTTGCTTCCTAAATAAACACTTTCTTTTTCTTTTCACTAGATGGCAAAGTACTACCCGCCGGCACAAATATTGGCATTGCGCCACTGTATTTGGGTCGTCAGGCGGATCTTTTTCCCGAGCCGAACAGCTTTAAGCCCGAACGTTTTGATTTCGCCCACGAGACGAAGAAAATAAATCCATACGCATATATACCCTTCTCGGCTGGTCCGCGCAATTGCATTGGTCAACGCTTTGCCATGTTGGAGGTGAAGAGTGTCGTTACGAATGTGTTGCGTCACTATGCAATCGACTTTGTGGGCAATAGCACGACGGAACCGATACTCATAGCAGAGTTGATATTGCGTACCAAAGATCCGTTGATGTTCCGCCTGACGCCGAGAGTGGATTGAGGAGGAAAAAATAAGCGAATTGTCGTTCATGGCATTTGCTTGCCATCTGAGAGAAAGTATTAATTCCAATTTCTCTTTTTAATTTGTATTTTAATATTATATATAAATATATATGTATCAGCATTTTTTTTTTTAATAAAGAAAATATTTTTATACCTCCAATACATACAAGAATTGAGAGCCAGGGCACAATTAAGATCTGAATATTTTTGACGACTAAATTTCTACTTATCCAGACTTGACCCCAGTCATATTCAAGAAATGTGCTATATGCAATGAGACCCCGCACGGCACTAACCACTTCTTTGCCTGCCCATTCAATCATGTCCATCTAACCATATCTTCTCTCTAGTGCGAGCCCATAGAAAGAGCTCGTTTCCTGAACCTCGCTTCCTGGATCTCACGTTAGATGACCTTGGTGACTTAGACAAATCTTGCTTGCTCCTAACGGAGTTGGATGGCCGTTATAGCAGCAAGTGTTGGAGTTGGCATTTCGAATTTCCTCCATCCGCCTCAGACGATAATGAATTTGCGATCAACGGACGTCCATCTATATGGTGCAAAAGCGTGGACGATGTCGGCATCCGATGAGTGGGAAATGGTTGTCTTTCTAGGATAAGATTTATGGTTCTCTGTGCGTTGGCAACGATGAATACTGCAACTGATGAAACGATGTATTGTATGAGATATACGGCAACATTGGTAAAGTTCAACGATTGAAGAGTCAGCGGAGCAGTATGCATGTCGTCCGAGTCGAAAAGAATACTCCTGCTTTGGAAATATTCGATATAGTACCCGCTGACGGACGCAATGGAAGAGGAAGACCTACACTCCGTTGAAAAAATCCGGTTGGAGAACTTCACTTTACGGCTAACGGTTTCGAATTGGAAAATTCGCTCTCAATACATACAAACACGTATGTCAATAGGTGCGTAGATAAGACTTCTTATTGCAATTTATCTGCTTCCAAGTAAATTTAATTGTAATTCTGTTGACATGTGAACAAGTTTTGAAATACAAACAAGTTACATAAACATAATATAATATGTATGTATGTATGTATGTATGTGTATACATATACACACACTCAAATATATATTTATTCAGCACAGCCGAAAAGAACCTGATTGGTGGCTAAGCATATGAATAAGGCCAAAAATTCATAAATTCTACGTAACATGTTTATATATGTACATGCGTGTATGTATGTAAATTTTTTTTTCTGGTCGGACCAGGACTGAAACCCTGCCCTTCCGAATGACAGTACGCAATTATATATGCGATAGTCGATTTCTATATATACCTAACCCCTTCATGTTTAAAGAATCAGAATAGTATTTCATTGTGAATGACCGAATTGCTGTAATTCTTCCACCCAGGTGTATTCATGTCCTAGGTTGGAGGTAAAAGTATCCCGGAAGAGATGATATTGTGATTGATGGAAGGCCGCAAATATTGTGCTCCCACTACTGTGCGCTTACTTTGCCTAACTTGTGGAGATCATGTATCCTACCTCTGAGATACACTTCAATACGCTTAACTAAGCTCTCTTTTGCAGGTAACAGTTTGGTCCGCCTGCAATCCACGCTGCCAAGTAGTTAAATGGTACACCCTGTATTGAAAATGCTTCAGGATCTGTAGTGTTCGTCTAGGATACACTGCTTCGGACAACTGCAGATGTTGAGAAACATGAGGTGGTTAGTCACAGCCTGACCAGCTCTACATAACTCGTGCCTTCTACGGCTGCGACGTTAAGTAACAGAGCTGATGGCACTATGAGCTTTAATGCAGAGAAATTGGAGAAGAAGCTGGATTCACTTGCTGACACTAATCAGCAAAAGAGACCGGAGGGCTATTATCGGCCGGTAATAATCACGAAAATCACGGTGTCTATGTCATTTAAGGAATGGTGGTCACATTAGCCAAGTGGTTAGCAGTACGAAGTGTGTTCAAAAAGTATCGCGAATTTTGAACTTTCGCGGGTTACGTATAATCGAATTTCGATTTTTTTGTGGCGTTATGTTGGTACTCACTCTCTCTCTCTGTCACTTATGCCGACAAGCTCGGTAATTTTGAATTTTCACTTAATTGTTGACAGCTGCTTTGTGTTTTGTGTTTTGGATGGTCTTCGATTTTTACCTATTCAAAAAAATGGATCAAAGAGCCTGTATCAAATTTTGTGTGAAAAACGAAATTAAGTGCGCGGATGCATTACGAATGTTGACTGTGGCATACCGAGAAGCTACCTTGGACCGAAGCAACGTTTATCGGTGGTACAAAATATTCTCAGAAGGCCGAGAAGATGTGAACGACGAAGAGCGTTCCAGACGCCCGAGCACTTCAACAACAGACGAAAAAATTAATGAAGTGGAGAAAATGGCATTGGCCAATCGTCGAATCACCGTTAGAGAAGTTGCTGAGGACCTAAACATATCGATTGGCTTGTGTCATTTGATTTTTATCAATAATTTGGGCATGAGACGGGTCGCCGCGAAATTCGTACCAATTTTGCCAAATTGCCCCTGCTCACACATCGTTGCTTGTGCGCGACTTTTTGGCCAAAAACAACACACTAACGGTATTCCCCAGATCTGGCCCCTGTGACTTTTTCTTCTTCCCTAAACTGAAGAGGCCCATGAAAGGAGGACGTTACGCTACGATTGACGAGATAAAGACGGCATCGAAGGAGGAGCTGAACAAGATAAAAAAAATGATTTTTTTTAAGTGCTTCGAAGATTGGAAAAACCGTTGGCACAGGTGTATAATATCTCATGGGGATTACTTTGAAGGGGACAAAATAAATAAATAATTTTTGAAAAAAACACAAAATTCGCGATATTTTTTGAACACATCTCGTATGTTCCACTATGTGTAGCCTCATAGGTACGAACCTTGCCCATACCAAGAGTGAGGGACTGGCTGGTTGGATTGTTTGATCGTTCTAACCTCAAACATGCTTAGACATGCGCCGCAATGAACTGTTAATTTATAAACAAACACAGACGTCGCGTTATTGATCTTGCAGCTTAAGCTGCTTAAATGCAATTTAAACTAGAGAATATTACAATATCTTAACGCCTATCGACCCACTTCGACATTTTCATGTATTTACATACATACATATATACATACATATTTTTTTGTATTTAAATTAAAGTTTAACAACATTATTTCGTTATAATCACTCAATATCGATCAAGTTCAATATTAACCAGGCGCAGTCACACACGCGCGTACACAGATACGAGTATGCAGCGCTTACGGTTACATGTTCGCATGTATGTAGGTCGAGGAAGCCGGCTTAGAAGTATAAATGCCTTTGCAAGCCGACGGCGCACACGCAGTGAATTGCAGTCATTTGTAGCGCTTGTGTTTGTGTCCGGGCGGAACGCGTTTAAAATTAAGTTGAATAAAATAAATGGAAATGTTTGCCGTTCTTTTGCTACTCGCCTTCAGTTGCCTTGCCGCCTTGCTCAACTGTGCTTATGTCAAATATGGCCGCCTCTACGCTTTGGGCTCACGTTTTCCCGGTCCACCGGCATTGCCACTCATAGGCAACGCGCTTATTTTTCTCGGCATTGAATCCGACGAATTTGTACGCCGCTGTGCGGGTTTGGCACGCGACTATGGCAATAGAATACGCTTTTGGCTAGGGCCACAGTTAAACATACTCCTGCACGATTGGCGCGACGTGGAGGTATTGCTCAACTCGAATAAGTTGACCGTAAAATCGGATCAGTATCGCGTCTTGAGTTGTTGGATGCACGACGGAATACTCTTGTCACGCGGTCGCAAGTATCAACAGCGTCGAAAACTCGTATTGCCGACTTTTCACTTCAAAATGTTGGAGGAGTTTCTGCCTTGTTTTCAAGAACACACCGCTATCTTGATGGCGCAAATACGCGCGAAATGCGCTAATGGCAAGCCCTTTGAGTTTTTGCCCTTGCTGGGCTTGTGTATGTTGGATACGATTTGTGGTGAGTTTTGTGTGCGCGCAAAAAAAAATTCGTTTGTGATTCTTGAAACGTTGTTTTGTTTTTTCTTTTGGGACTCGCTTTCAGACACAGCGATGGGCGTGCAAATTCACAGTCAACGTAATGCCGATTGCGAATATGTGAAGGCGCTGAGAAGGTTAGTTTATTATTATTATTTATTTAATTTATTATTATTTTAATTTTTTTAGCCTCACGGAAATCCTTCACCTTCGCATGTTCGATATCAAGTATTATTTCCGTTTCATCTTCCGTTGGACATCAAAAGCGGCGGAAGCCAAACGCGCACTCCGAATCATGGAAGATTTCGCTGAAAAAGTGATCTTGCAACGGCGTAAAGAATTGATGCATGCGCCGCTCGCACAGCAGTCACTGCCGGAAGAGGATCAATTGATTGGCATGAAACGTAAACGAAATTTCTTAGACATTTTGCTGAACTCGAGTATCGATGGCAAACCACTGAGTAACACGGATATACGGGAGGAGGTGAATGTATTTATGTTTGCCGGCCACGACACGTTATCCTCCGCCTTAATGTTCTTCTTCTACTGTATATTCACCAATAAGGATTGTGAGCGCAAGTGTTATGAAGAGATTTGCAGTGCCTTCGGCAGTGACGGCAATGTGATCGAGATGAAACGAGAGCGTTTAAATCAGCTCCATTATGTGGAACTTTGCATTAAAGAAACCTTGCGCATGTATCCGCCAGCGCCGTTGATCGGCCGTAAAGCCGTGGAGGAGGTCACAATAAGTAAGTCGTGCAGTTTTTGAGATTTTTTGCTTTTTTTTGCATAAAATATTTCTTTTTTATCCGAAAAGACGAAAACATCATACCTGCCGGCGCAAATATTGGCTTCTCGCCGTACATTTTCGGTCGCAAATCGGAAGTATATGCCGAGCCGAACACATTTAAACCGTCACGTTTCGACATGCGTACACGAGCAAATTCCACTGAACCACAACCATGCATACTCACGTCCTTTTCGGCCGGTCCGCGCAGCTGCGTTGGTCAAAAGTATGCCATGCTGCAGTTGAAAGTGGTTATTGTGAATGTTTTGTTGAACTTTCAAATGGAATATGTGGGCGATGTGATGCAAGAGCCGATGCTCTCCTCGGAAGTGACATTGGGCACAAAAGAACCGTTAATGTTCATAGCGCGAGCACGTGGAACGGAAATTGTAAGATAACGTAGTAAATAACAAATGTATTTTTGAATTTAAAGAATATCATTGAGGACAATTAAACCTTTTTTATGCTGCGCTGCCATTGAAAAATTACATTTTTTATTAAAGACAAAGAAAGTGTTGGTGTAAAAATTGAGAAATTGCTAATATTTAGTATTTTTGCATTTGTAAAAAAGTCAAAAGTTTAGCCTCGCCCTGTAACAAAGGGTGTTTCTTTAGGCGTGTGGTATTCAATGAGAAAAAGCTAAACTACAGAATCCTTATAAAGATTTGGAGTTGGATTTGTGGTGGGAAAAAGAGTCGCTGGCATTCACCTCGGTACATGAACGCCTTGTAACAATCCGCATGTTTTGCGCCCATGCCTTGACGGAAAAAAAGTGCGATGGGATAAAAGTTGTCTTTTATGAGGGCCCAGAGTAAACTGTATTCATGAAAAGAATACTTCTCCAGCTCGCTGAATGGCATCCCCTATTCCCCAATCGACCACGATGGAATAGATACTTCATTGCACGACTGTGAAGTAGTTCGAATAGGAACCGTTCGCATGAAAAACAACTAAGCGGCGAGGGGTCGATGGATAACTGGCCGAGCTATTCAAATACAACAGCGAAGAACATTTGTGCTGCATGTATCAGCTTCTTTCCAAAATGCAAAACGATTTGAACCTAAATGGGTTCTGCTCAATCCATAAAAAGATCGCATATAAGGTCCTATCCAACGATGCTGTGTGAAGGACTAATCAAGGGTGAGTTCCAAAACGTCAGTTGCAAAGTAACCATGCATTGTCACGTCTTCCTAAATGCAACTGCGCAAACTTTGACGATGTATCATGTTCCAAAATGCATCCGTAAAGTTATTGATGCGCAAACAAAACCAAACTGACCCATCGCATTTGTGATGCTTTGTTTTATCATAAATTTTCAACAACAATGGCCGACGTCGGAGGGCAAAATGTTTGCGTTAATTGGTTTTTCGAAACATTATATTACTTATTTTGTTTTGATCTATTTTTTAATTTAGACATTTCACCGAAAAGCAGCGTATTTGCACGAAAAACATTCCAAAATGACAGAGTTTTTAAATTATTGTTGCTTTGTAAATTTATAGAATGCAGGGTTGCATTGTAATGATGCGTTTACGCAACGGTATAATTACAAAGTATTTTGAAGTTTTTGAACTCACCCCAACCTATCAAATCAGTGTGGCTTAAAACCTGGTAAATCCATCATCACGCGCCAAATCTTGAAAAAGACCCGTAAAAAGAAGATTGACATAGGCTGCAACTACCCAACTCACTTACCAGCCGTCCATAAGTGACGACGAAAAGGCGAGAAAAACACACGAGTTATCGACGCCGCTGAGAGTGGCGAAATGTTGCCAGCTGCCTGTGTGTTTGCACACTTTTGAACAAATTCATAATTTTCGTCAACGAATTTCATAATTTATTTGCTTTAACATAAACACAAGGCAAATATACATGATCTATATAGTAACAAATAATTAGTTACGCATTTAGTTTTCATTTCTTTTGAACAAAACTACGCATTATCTTCGATTATTTAATGTTACTTTAAGAAAGGCTATACTGGCAACCTTGTATAGCAACGAAAAATGAGCCGAGCCGGTTTTACGGAAAAATCAAAACTTCGTTGGTTTCTGCGACACAAACGTCAGCAACGCTATGGTAAATCGGTGACAACTTTGTGTTTACATGGCGCTCTCATAAGATAGGTTACTATGGACGGCTGGTACGCGCGTTGGGTAGTTGCAGCCATACACATCCTCTTCGACGATACGAAAAGGAGCTGCACCTACGCCGTTGTCTGATTTCGGCAGCCTCACAAAAAAGCTACGTCAAGATCGAAGACGTCAATAAAAAGTATCGTTCACAATAAAATACTTTTTTTTCATTAATTTTCATTTCACATTTTTATTTTCTCTTTATATATTTTTTTTTAGAATCATCATAACAAAATGTTTTCATATATATTTATTTATTTTATTTTTTAAATATTCTTTTGTTTCGCATTTTTTACCATTAGCATCAGTACATACATACATATGAGTGTATATACAAAAGTATATGCATAGGTATATAAGTACATATTTTTTGTTATTATATCGTACATAACTACTATTGTGTCTCATATTTTCTAATAGACTTTTTTTTCTATACGCATGAATTTAGGGGGAAGGGAAAGAGACGGTCAATGAACCGATTTTGACCCAACTTTTTTCGGTTTTAAGTTATTTTTTATTTTTAATATGTTTAATTAAATATATATGATTTTTTGTTTGCTTTTTATTCTTATTATAATTTTTTGTTTTGTTTTTGTTAATTGCTCATTCAAAATTTGACTGCAATAATTGATCTACATTTGTATATATGATTTTTAATATATATTAATTAATTAATTTTTTATTGTTAAATAGTATTGACAATCGCAGGAAGATACATGAAATTTATGTGAATACTCAAAGTTCATTTTTCACGTTTTTTACCTTTTCATATTATGTAGCTTACAATGTTAAAATTTGATTTATATTTGAAATATTTTAACTACTCAATTATGCCTCTTAAATACTCTTTTCATATATATTTTTTTATTTCTTTTTTGTATTGTTTTTTTTTTTTTCTTATAGTTGTAAATATATGTATATATACATATATTATATACATATAGTGTAGATCTGTCTTTTATTTTTTTAATTTTTGTATGTATGTAAGAGTATATAACAAATTACAAGGGTATATAAATAACGAGGCTACATATTATATAAATGTCTTTGTATATCGTTATCATTTCAAATTTCTACCAGTTCAAGTATGTTTTCTGAAAATTTTACTTAGCTACCTTGGGTTAGTCATATTGGTAGAATTTTTGTAAATCGAAAAGCAGTAAAACTTAAATAATATTTACGGTAAAAAAAAAATATTGCAATTTTTTATAAAAAAGTTTATTATTTTGTATATTATTAATAGTATTTTTGAAACACTTCCTCCACCGTGATCAATAGCAACGATCGGTGAATAGAGCTCTTATGAGATTTCCTCGTTTGTTCTGCTCCCAATAGTATATATTTTTACATTAATAAAAAAAAGTTTCAAAAAGAAATGTCATGAAAACACTGTTAATTTTATGCGGATCAGTAGAATCATTGGAGATGTCACTGCTGTGTTTTAAAGACTCAGCTTTTTCGATTTGGAAAAATGTTTCTAAAGACTTTTGTAGAAAAAAAGGTATTTTCATTTAAAATTAAAGAGCGGCCTTCAGTTTTGGTTATTTTTCATTCACAATAGAATACCGCAGTGCAAATACACGAAATATTGCATTAAGAAGAGAATAATTTAAAGGTATGTGTCGCCCTTTTTTTATTGTGGTAACTTCCGATTTAATTACGATGTTTAATTAAATATTTTTAAGCCGTCTGTCTGTCTAGATTATAAAATCGTGTCAAGACAAATTTCCATAACAAACCTTCTCGCACATTTTTTGAGCTTTTGTACCATAATCTCGAATCGATATCAAATTGTAGTAAAAATTAAGACTTGTAAAGCCCATTAATTGGCTTTTTGCTCGGTTTTGAAAAGCAGCACATGTTACAGTATAATTATGCCTTTTTAAATAATCAAAACTTAAAGAAAACATATCTTTTTAAAATAATACATCACGTGTGAAATTAAAAACTTTTTTTTTTTTTGCTTAAAAGAGGATTTGATATTCGTGTATGCAATAATTTTGGTTTAATAATATAAAGTCTCTTGAAGCTTGCTTAAGGTGTTGTTGTTACTAAAATTTTAATACCCAAACAATAGGGGTTCGACACGAATTCTATACATATAAATGTATATAAATATACTTCGTGAGTAAAGCATTATTGTTGTTGTAGCATTTATTAAATTTAGCAGCTAATTAACAAATAGTGGAGTGTATTATATTTCCTTTTTATTTTTTATGTTTCTATATAAATATGCTTATCCTTTCGCTTGTTTTATTGTAATTATGTAATTGCATATTAATATTAAACATTTTTCGTTTATAATAAGTATTATATAATTGTTTTGAAGTGATGATAAAATTGTCTACTTACGTTTTATTACTATTTTAAACGTATTTTGAGTTGTTTAGTTGAATTTACTTATGAATATTTTGACTTTTATTAACAGTTTTTTAACCACGTTCGCTTTTTTATTTATTTACTTTTTTGATACTACGTAAATGGTAGCTTTTTTCGCACGTGTGTGGGTATACATATATACATATACATATATATATATAAGTTTTTGATGTATATATAGTTTATTTTAATTTCAAACATTTTTATGAGTGCTATTGTGTTGATTTATTTATATATATATATATAGATATTTATTTTTATTTATTGTTTTTTATCAGCTACTTGTGCTTTGCCTTACTTAGTCAGTACTTGTTTTTTAAAAATAATTTTTTTATTTTTTTTTTTTAATTTCCCAACTCTGCATTTCTTTGCCTACTCAAAATTCGTTTTAATATTGAATTAACTTAATGCGCGTTTTTTATATTTTTTTCTAAACTTTTTCACAACTTTACGTTCCTAGTTTCCAGTAAAAGCTTTTTAAATCCACATCCAAAGTTGTTGTTGCGTAAATGTGTGTTTATAATTGTAGAGTTTCAATAATTAGACTTGAACAGAAATATGCAAAGTTATTTTACAAGAAATACAAAGTAGGTACTGCGGAGCGAAATGTAAAAGCTGCGCGAAAAGCATGAGACGCGTTTTGGAAATTATGCTCACGAAGTTTTTTAACTCACAATTTTTACGTGAAAATTTAATCAACAGTAATTTTAACACTCAAATGAATTTGTACTGAAATCTAATTGGTTTAAAATGATAGTTTGTTTACGTATTTATGTGTGTATACTATGCACATGACTATTTTTTCTTAGTCCATAAAATTGCACTTTACTTGCCGACCATATTTGAATCGGAAGCCGTCAGTTTAAACTATTGTTTCCGGCGGAGAAAAACGATATTATTCTTTAACTTTTGGCGTTTATTTCGTTAACATACTGCCAATATCACCTCTTGTATAAATAATTTATTTGACA